ACACAGAAGACGCTGTTCTTTCATTAAGCTCTTTAATCGTAAACCTTGAGAGCGTGGTCCTTCTCCGGTCGGCTCGACCTGGGAAGGACCATGTTATTTTGACATTACAAACAGACACTGTTTAATGTCAAATAACAGCCTTTTACTAAATTCGTATGGAAGTATACATGGTACTTATAAGAAATACACAACTTTTAAAATTTTTATCTGTCTGTCTGTGTCTGTCTGTCTGTTTGTTCCGATTAATCTCCGAAACGGCTAGACCGATTTTGACGGTACTTTCACTGACAGATAGCTGATGTTATAAGAAGTAACTTAAACTACTTATATTTTAGAAAAATAATTAGGGTTCCGCGCAACAAAATTAAAACCCTAAATTACACGCGGGCGAAGTCGCGGGGAACAGCTAGTATTTAATAGACAAGAATTTGAAACCTTCTTGTTTTTAAATTGAATAATTTCATTTATATTTGCCCTCACTACGATCATGTTTACGTTTTTCCTTTTTAATAAGGTTATTACAAAAATTTCGGTAACGACGGTAAATGATTTTTAAGTATGTTGGATCTAGTTTTAGTTTTTTTTGCATAGCGTTTCTGTTTCTCATGCATCGAAGTATACCTTCTGTCAAATAGGTCACACCAACATGTGCTAATTTGCAATAAAACCTATATAGCTTTAAACCTATGTTTATGAAAATAACAATAGTTATTGTTTCATCCAAATTGGTGCAGAAATACGAAAGTTATAACGTTTTGAGGTTTCGCAATTTTTTTTAATTTTTATCCGCTCATTCTATGTGACGTGACGTCACAATTCGACAGAGCGAACGCGCAGTAGGTACTTGCTAAGTTTAGTACTAACCGCGCGCTCGGAAGTATACGGTCGTTTACCTACATATTATATCGAATGTCAGAGTTAATGTCCACTTATCTGATCTAATATGAATAATCTAATCCAATGTTTTTTTTTATAGGAGAGGGGGCAAACGAGCATGCAGCTCACCTGATGGTAAGTGACTACCGCCGCCCATGAACAACTGCAACACCAGGGGGGAATTGCAGATGCTTTGCCGTCCTTTTAAAAAGGAGTACGCTCTTTTCTTGAAGGTACTGTAATCAATATTATTTAAGATGAATAATTTAATCTAATAATCTAATCTATTACTATGATAATGTAATCAATGAACTACATATTAATAATATTTGACATTTGTATGCCTATGAGGCTGATCACAGACTGAACTTTATTTGTGTTAAGATAAGACCTTTCTGTAACCTGTGAATCACAAATAAACTATTTGATTTGATTTATAAACTAACGTATTGAACATTTAGCTTTTATATGATTATATTTATATGTATAGTCACGGTGAGTAGTGCTATAAAAAAAATGGAAGCGGGCTTTGAAAAAAGACAGTCAGATAATAATCTGCAAAAAGTGGATATTTTTATGGTTGCGCAGTATTTTTCAGAAAATTATGATTTTTTATCATCAAAAATGCATGATATAAAGCTCCAAAGGTAAGTTACTAATAGAAGATTACGAAAAGTATACAGCTTTACCATTGATTAGTAACTAGGCAGTAATACATAGGTAGGTATTAACTGACCAAACCACGTAGTTGCACATGATTTACAACAACGTACAATAAAAAAACTTACTTAAACTTACTTATGCAGTGAGTATTAATCAACTCGTACTGTTATTTAGTACCTAGTGACACTTGAAGAAATTTTGTTGGTTACGTAGTCCGTCAGTGGTTGCATATGGTCCTAGTTTTACTTTGACTTACTTTTGAATAAACTGATTGCAGTATTACGTTGGTAGTTGGTACCTATTCTGTTTTCAAAATGCAATGATCGCAAACATTTAATGCGTGTAAATACTAAACTGATTTTGATGAAATTTTGCATAAAGGTGTTTGCATGATCTACAGAATTTTATCTTCTCATATCCAAATTTTATTCTCAAGGAGCATGATATAACAGAATAAAAAAAAAACAGAAAATAAAGGTTACTGATAAATAAATAACATGACAAGAAAAATATGGCAAGTGGGACTCGAATCCACGATCTCGATCATTTTTATGGCTGTTCGACACGAAAACCCATTTGGGTTTATAGTGTGTCGTCTGGCAAGTTAATTCATACTAGTGTTACTTAACTTTAACATATTGCTATTGTATGTAGGTTAACAAAGAGCCAAAGGTTCGCTATCCCTCACTTTATTATCGATTTTATTCTTGGATTTATTTTAACACATACTGTCACAGCAGTTTGTCCCTGATCCTTGATCAATCGCACTCGTCTTATCAACGCACGTACCACACGCACACAGGCGCACTACGCCGTGTACTGTATTGCATATCGATCTTGACCTTGCAAATAGCGATACGAACGTATTATGCTTTAAGCTTACACGGCACACGCATCTATTAGCATACCTTTACGTACCTTTACATACCTTTACGAACCTTTACATACCTTTACGTGCGCATCTATTAGGAATGCAAAAGGTATATTACGACACTTTACACACACATACCAAGGTAAAGTTGTAGGTATAGGTTGTTTCACGATTTATGTATAAGTTATGAGCGCTGACCTTGACTTGAATACGCAGAGTAACAATTTAGGTAATTTTGTGCCTTATACAAACGGCGTAAGATGGGCAGACACCTCGATCACTTAGCCAAGCGGTCCTATTTCATGAACAGGTAAGTAGGTATATAAAACCCAAATAGTTATTAACACCGGTGTGTTGTGTGGTGTGTCTCGTAAACATTTTGTAGGTAACAATATGTATATATGTAAACAAACAATAATGAAACTTACATCAAAATGATCTTCACAACAATAAACACTACTGGTGGCTTCGACCTGTCGATTTGTGACGTCACATCGCGATGCGGAGCAAAGCGGTCGCCCTTACCGTAAAACACCACTTTACTCATCAATATTGCAGTCATTTTTAAAGGTAGAAAAAAATATGAATACCGTTGAATTCGTAATTTTTTATACAATTTTTTTATACCCTTAACAAAATTGGGCGGCCAGACCCATTGCTTGATAAATGTCTTTGTCCCAGGAACAGCAAAATTATTGGTGTGTTTAACTAATGCAATAGATAGATAATTTATCTACTAGAATCATATTGTGGTCTGTTATAATCGGAAATTGTGACGAAAGCGGTTGTTCTTTTTTTTTTTATCAATTTTTAGCATAAAACAGTCCAAACAACACAACTTTCGGATAGGAAAATGGTGGCCTGGAAGTATTTTATGTGTAGCCAAAGCGGTCAGATAAAGATTTCTGTTATTTCTTTCATAACTTTGTTCACACATAATACGTAAGAAATTTACATTTTTTTATAGGATAAGCGTGTCAAGGGAGCACACAGTCCACCTGATAGTAAGTGGTTTCTGTGGTCAATAGACATCTATATCTATCTTCGATTACGAATCAAAATGCAGAATGAGTTGTCACCCGTGAGGGCTAAGATGGAATGCCTCGTTTCCAGTAAAATGGGTCTCCGGTTCTCTACACTCACATACGAAACACAGCAGCGTTAAGCTGCTATTTTACGCTGGTATTCTGTGAGAGCGTGGTCCTTCCCCGGTCGAGCTAACCCATTCGTGCTACAACTATACTACTAATATACCTGCAGCATGGCTCTACCACGTGAAAATTATATTAATGTTACCCGCTATAATAATATGACTAGTTTTAACTGAGTTTAGATATAAATTAATAGAGTAAATAAATTTGTCAGTTTTTGTGATGGAAGGAGAACGATATATACCTAAAATTGTGTATTGATTTATAGTTATTTGTAAACATGAAGCCTTGTATAAATTTATTTTCTTGACAAGTGCTCTGTAAACATTCTTTACGTAAACTACCACACCATCGTTTTGATTTAACCGAGTGTTTGTCGAATAGGGATAGTAGCTAATTAAAGTGGGAACTGGTTTACTTTTATCTTACCAGCACTCCGTCAAAATGATTATATCAATACAAGGTTTTACTTGCGCTAAGTGTATTAATAGACTGTCAAAATAACAGTATATACTTGTTATATTTTGAGCTATAATATTTAGATTTGCGTATTTAAAAACAACGTTTGAAGACAAATCATCTATTGAACATTTTATAAACTGTGAAATTTCTGTCGTCTAATTCCTGTAGTGTATTCAGAGAACTATTCATGGAGGAAGTAAGATAACTGCTGGGTCATTAGCATAGTATTAAGTTGTGTAATGTAAATGTAATGTGCATTTGTATATTATTATTATTATTATTTAACCAATGGATAGATGATATGAACTTACCCTCTATCTTCGCATAATATTGCACTCTTTCTAGATCTTTTTACAAATTTATTTTCTTTTGGTGTACCTAAAGATCAATATATACCTATAAACTTGCATATAACCCATCTTATGTCTGTCTTATGACAAGCATACAGCAGGCGTTTTATATATGATTATGACTGAATATATTTAAAGTACCGTGGTAGTTCATAGACAGGGGGTTGATTTTATATTTATACAAATAAACCCGAGTTCGATTCTCACCGGTACTACTGAAATTATTTAAGTGGGTGACAATTTTAAGACGAGTAACACGAAACCAAACCCAATATATTCTTATTTTAAGCAGGTCATATGGATATTGAAATCGTCAACAATGTTTTTGAATAATAGTAAATTTTATAACTTCTGGTTAATCATCATCATCATAATATTATCGTCTCCATTGAAATGTGAATAGGATACAGCTAAAATGCAGGGATTAGGTAGGCATCTATAGAATTATCGTAATTGTTCTTTTGGTTGAGCAAAAAATATAAAAATAATTATTGTAGAATTATCTTTCTTAACAATTATGGAATAGTATAATAAATAGTATTGTCGCAGGAATACCAATAAAATGCTTTTTCAGAAATAAAAAGTTTATTGCCCATTTTATCGAAATCAGTCCGAGATAGTCCAAGCTTAAACAGCAACGTAAGGTGCGGCCAGCCTAGCCACAGGAGAGTACAGTGGTGAAGCTACTCTAGCTACGGGTGCTGAGTAGGCGACGGGTACTGCTGAAGTGTAGGCAGCTACTCTCGCTACAGGAGCTGTGTATGCGGCGTAAGTAAGAGGAGCGGCTACTGGTGCTGCAGCATACTTGGCAGCCTGAACAGGAGCGGTGTATGCAGCGTAAGTTAAGGGAGCGGCTACTGGTGCAGCAGCATACTTGGCAGCTACGACAGGAGCAGCGACCGGTGCGGCGGCATAGCGAGCGGGCACCACAGCGGGCTCAGCGATGACAGCTGGAGTCGCAGCAACCAAAGGCTCTTTACGGACCACCGCATTGAATCCGTTGACGGAGTCAGCAGAATAATCCACAGTGCGGCGGGTGCCATCGGGGTCAACAAGGGAGTATGAGCCTTGCACTAAATCACCATCGCGTTGCTCCGTTTGACTCTTGTAATCGCCGGTTAGAGAGTCAGCGACGTCATATCCAAATCTGTACTGTGGAGCCGGGTCAAATTCTTCGAGTTTAGCTAAAGCCGGAGCAGCTACGACTGGCGCAGCAGCAACAACGGGAGCAGCAACCGCGGATGGACTAGCTCGGGCCAAAGCCACGAAGCAGGAGAAGGCAACAAACTGCAAAAGAATATCAATTTATTATTATTTTATATCTATATCAGGTTGCAATCAATACGTATTGTAATTTATAATATCATAAACATGCACAGCTTAATAGTTTAATGAAATAAAGCGTCTGAGTAAAAGAGCGGTCGTGTAATTGTTACGCTATTTGTACTTGAAACATTGACACGGTTTAAGAGGGCAAGACTAGCGCAATTACGCAACGCGTGCGCGGAGAAATTACAAACAAGCGGAGGACTGCACTTGTCAAGGACGCGCTAGTGACATCCCGTGAATCGAAATTAGCTTAGACCGTGCCTCGCCTGTAGCTGCGTGACTATGCATTGTTAGAATGGTTGTCGTGATTACTTTTACTTGGAGATCATTATCTCTATAGCGTTGTTGAACTTGTTTGATACACGATGATAAAACATTTGTCATAATCTTGTTTGTCACACATAGTAATTTAATTACAGTGTATGTCGCTTATTAGTTACTTAATTAGTCGTTAAAAGCCAAAAAATGTTTTGTGTGTGATGCTGGCAGGCAGAACCAAATTAATATCTAATTCTTTTACATAGAAAATTTTAAGTTTTAGTCTTTTAATATTTGGGATAAAAATTATTAGAAGCACGAAAATATTTACATAATTATTGATCGCGCTAATAACAAATGTGTGAGTGAGCTTGTCAAATCTTACGTCTATCGGCTTTTTTTAAATGATGACAATTAGATGATGTTGTGCCATCCTAGGTCAGCAATGAAAAGACTAAGAATTATATGGTGGAATTGAAACATTGCCAAACCATCTAATATGGGGACGTTAACGCTACGAAAAATAGAAGAAAATGAAATTGACGCTATGGATTTGTGCTAGTAGCGAAGTATGCTTGAGATATGGAGGACCGATATACGTAAAAACATCTCAATACTTGATTTTTTGGGCATCTAGCTGCGTCTATCGACTGTAATATAGTCTTCGGAATACGAAGTTCCTCCAATATATATATAGTGCCGTAACGATGATCCACGGAGCATTATGTTATATTTATGTATGAGTAATTAACTGGAAGACATGATGAGGTAAACAAAATCAGCAGCTGACAACCAAATCCAAATTTTGATAGAGATCAGGAGTGTAATGGATATCTTAGTCGTTTTTTCTTCTTAGAAGAAACTTTATCATTAATATTTTTATTTAATGTTAATGACTTTGATATATTTTGGGAATAATTAGTACTGGTAAACGTGTTAGGATATTAAGATATAGATTTGTTACTAGACAATAATTTATATTGTTGTAAAAATGATCTTTTTCAAAATAAGGAAGGCTGAAAGAAAAAATTAAACTCTTAAAAGTTAAGCACTCTATTCCAAGTTACCAAGTTATCAAATTTTTTAAAAATGTATTTACCTTAAAGGCCATTGTTGTAAAGATGGGTTGTTTGATGAAGCCAAGTGTGACTATGCTCCTGTTCAGTTTGGCAGGGTATATATAGTGGCAGTGGGTTGTGACACCATATCAAGTTCGTGCTTAGTATTATTCAGGCGCATTACTATGGATGTGCATGTAATTGGAAATGAGCCGTAATTTGTCAATGGCGGAAAATTCGAACGCGTTCTTGACTTAAGGCCAACTGTTATGAAATTTGTTACAGATTGGCGTGTGATACCCACTATCAGTATGTCCATTGTACTTGTCACAGTGCACATGTCTTTCGCAGACCAAGCACGTAGGAACAGAGCAAGGTGGTTTAGTATTATGAAAATATTGTGATGTTTGGATGGGTAAGTTAACATCGTTAAATAGATTTTAATGTATAATGTAATGAAATGAAATGAATGAATACATTATATACTAGTTTCTTTGCTGACAGGTTTAGTCATGTATATTTCCATTAGGCAACCCCACCGTTATCTACTCACCGTATCATTAAAAATATCGATAAAAACTTGGTATTGATTGAAGGAAAAAAGGTTAAGGAAGAGTATTAGAATTGCAAATATACATTTTTCGCTCTTTTTATTCTAATTTATTATAAAACTAATAATAATAATAATATAGTACAATAAAGTTTTATCTACATTATTGATGCTATTGACTGAACACTCAACGCTATTCCAAGAACATAAAATATGTATCTAATTACTCTAACATAAAAACTGTTCTGTGCTTGGTCGTGCTCTGTGTTTGGCCGTAAAATGCAGGCTTCTATGTCATCACGTCTGTGTTAGTTCAAAATTCCAATATGCATTCATAGAATTTTGAAGTAACTTTTCAAAATTCCATTAATACATTTCTACTCGTCTTTAAAACAAAACATTTTTTTTTAAGTAAAAGTTCGCTATCTAAACAAAATTCTCTATCTAAATAAAATTCTAACAATTAATGTTATCATATTATTCCTCCAAATCCCATTTAATGAAAACAAACAAAAATCTTAACATGTCCGAAAATATAATTGCTAGCTTAATGAATTATTTTTATAATAGCTGCTAACGACCAATAGAGACCAGAAAAGAGTTTACACCGCTTCCTCAATGTTCGTTGGTGGTCTTCACATGTATTCGAAATATTTTTAAAACAACTGCAAGTTTACTCGAACTCGGTTTGTTCATTTACTAAGAAAATTTAAAGGCGAGCGCTCAGTTCCTAACTTTACTTAGTAGCATTTCATCATCATCATCATCATCATTACAGACCTTCACAAGCCACTGCTGAACCTCATACATGTAGCATTTGCACTTAACCAATTTTTAATGGCCAAATATCCCTAATATACTAATAGAAGAGTGAATACGAGAGTGTAAAAGACGCCTTTGTACAGTTTCCATCACATTCATTCGTATTTCATCATTCATTACAGCCCATCAAAATTTCTCTGCTCAACATAGTCCTCCCCATAGATTGCCTCAAAGGGGGGAAATTTTCCATAGGCGCCACGGTGCGTACCAAAAGTCTATCATAAGTCTACCAAAAGTCCACTGCTGAACATAGGACTCCCCCATAGATTGCTTCATAGGGAGAATATTTTCCATAGTCGCCACGGTGCCTACCAAAAGTCCATCAAAAGTCTACCAAAAGTCCACTGCTGAACATAGGACTCCCCCGTAGATTGCCTCTTAGGGAGAATATTTTCCATAGTCGCCACGGTGCCTACCAAAAGTCCATCAAAAGTCTACCAAAAGTCCACTGCTGAACATAGGACTCCCCCATAGATTGCCTCTTAGGGGTATATTTTCCATAGTCGCCACGGTGCCTACCAAGAGTTCATCATAAGTTTACCAAAAGTCCACTGCCCAACATAGGATTCCCATGGATTGCCTAATAAAATAATTATATTTGCCATCGTTGTCACGTTTAACAGACGTGTTGGAAACTGCAGTATTTTTATTAAATTAGTTATCAGGAACATTCTGCTGCTTATCTTTTGTTTTATTTTCCTCCTTTTGCCTCTTTAGACACCTACGGGAAGATATGTGTTTACTGTGTTTTTATGTTATATTTGTGGATGTTCTCCGCCCTCACTTCACGCCAAAGTTCAAAACTACAAATAATATTATATTGCATTGAATAGCTATTCACAAGATCGTAATGTTAATATTTGCAGGAGAACCACCTCTGGTTACTTACAGGCCACTTTAGCTTACTTATCCGTTGGGATATGTCAATTCCTCAATTGACATATCCCAACGGATAAGTAAGCTAAAGTGGCAAAGTACCGGCCATATAACTCTATGAACTGAACACCGATGAAAGAAATCTCGAAGAAGGTTTTGAATTGCATTCTCGTGCTGGTAAGTTATGCGACAAGTGTAGGGTATGACGCATTCACAATTGGGGAAAATGCTGCTCGGCTGTTTTATCGGCGTCTGTCAATCAATCAATGGAATATACGTGAAGTGAAAATAGCGTATAATTGTAAATCTAATATCTGAATACTTTTTTCCTTCCAGTTGTGCCATTTCAGTAAAATTCGATCAAAGTTTTAAGTTGAACCGACATCAAGTTCATCTGTATTTTGGTTATTTTGTTATAAATCTAGATTCATGACGATTCGATGTGTATATGATTTATTATTAATAAAAAGCCAATATGAAAATATACATCACTTATGTTCGTCCCGTAGGCGGCGTAAGACGTGCCAATGCGATAAGGCAAAAGCCAAATTTTATGGCTTCTGATAGATGGCGGTATTATCTCTTTGAGGCATTTTCTACTAACTTCAAAAAGAAGCCGGCACTCATTTCGTCTGTATATTTTTTTATGTTATTTTAAAAAAAAAAAACTTATAATTTTTTCTTTATTTGAAAGCTGGTGCTTCACATGTGGTACCATATAAATTTGATCAAGGTCTGACCAATAGTTTTTGAGTTATTCCTAATAATTTATATCGAAGTCGGTTGTACAAAATGTTTAATTTTAAATTATTTTATTCAGTTATTGCTGCATACTACTCCTGTGGTACGAAATAGAGTCATAAATTATCTTACGCAGCTTTACGCCACCTTATTATTTAAAATGTCTCATCTTATAAATGTAGATGACTTTGTCACTTCAATGGTGTGATTTAGTTTTCTATCTGTACCATAATTAATAAGATTGAAGTGTCTGTTTGCAATATAAAAATAACAGCTTTTTAATAAATGCATATGAAAGTATATACAGTACTTATAACAAAAAACATTTTTTTAAATTTTTGTCTATCAGTGTGTTTGTTTCGGCTAATCTCTGAAATGACTGAATCAATTTTGGCGGGACTTTCATTGGCAGATAGCTGATGATATAAGGAGTAACTTAGGCCCCTTTTATTTTAGAAAAAGAGTCAAGGTTCCGCGCAAAAAAATTTAAACCCTAAATTATACGCGGGGAGCTTGCGGGGAACAGCTAGTTATTACTAAAATGTAAATATTTTGATAGTTAGCAAATTGAGTTTAAAAACCAGCTAATTAACATCAATCCAATTGTAATTTTAATAAAACCCCTTGCTACTGAATGTGACAAGAATATGCAGTTTATAACTTTTAGAAGGAAATAAATGCTACGTGAACATTTTATTTTGTCTTTTAGTAATTTATCGTACACTACAACATTATATGCTACAACTTCACCATCATCAACATCACCAAAGATTTTTATGTTTAAAATAACTTTTCCATTTAGTTCTACTTGATAAACTAAATTGATATTTTTTTAAATGTATGGTCACCAGTTGGTCACTAAATCTTGACACATATTTCACAAAGAAAGTTGTAAGCGTTCTGGAGTTATTCAATAATCTTATTAATCTTCAAGTCAAAATCCTCCCTAAGATATGTATAACTCCGACTCAGTTGGAGTATTATCTTTCAATCACTTTAACTAAAAGTCACCAATCGGCCATTAAATCTTAAAATAGGAATCATATCTCAAAAGCAAACAATAATGGTGTTTTCGAGGGGAGACTGCCAGCTTCAATTCAGGCTAGAATCTTCCAAAAAAGGCCTATATCTCCCACATTTCCAAAATTTAAGCTATCTTTGGAAAGAACGCACACTGACGGCTTCCTGGCGCAGTGGCTTAGCATTGACTGATGGCAGTGAAGGCCGCGGATATGAATCCAGCACGGAACAAGTATTTGTATGGCCTACAAATAACTATTCCGGCTATGGATATGAGTCCTTGTGCCATTTATATAAGTAAGCTGTCTCCACGATACAGGTAAGAATCCTAATGTATATAGGGTAGTGTTTTTAAACAAAAGAAAAAAAGTCCCTTCTTTTCCGCACAGATGTGTTTCGGGACGCATTCACAAATGCTTTAGAAAAGGGACTTTTAACAGTGGTAGAGCTACGGGGCAGCTTTTGCTGTCGCACGGGTGGGCCGGCTCGAACCGGGGTATCACGACCTCACAGAAAACCAGCGTGAAGTAGAGGTTTACCTCTGCGTTTCGCTTGGTGAGTGCAGGTGGCCGGAGGCCCTTTTTACTGGAAATGAGGCATTCCATCTTAGTCCTCACGGGTAACAACGCATCTACATTTTGATTTGTAATAGAGGATAGATGTAGATGTCTATGGGCCGCAGCAACCACTTACCATCGGACTGTGTGCTCGATTGTCACCCTTATCCTATAAAAAAGGGACGTCCAGGCTATCGCGGGATAGTTGTTAGGTCATTTTTTAAATGGGAAAATGCCTAGCATAGTCGCCTCAGCGGCATGAACGTGTTATGTCGGTCTCGCACCGACTAAAACTCCCTGGGTGTTCCACCTTCACCGAATGTTGGTAGGGTCACGGGTACACTTTCGCACACATCCGCGGCCCTACCAGCTCCAGCCACCCCATAGCAGCTACTCTTCAGGAGAGCACAACTCCTGCTTAGGTAAGGCGCACCAGAACACTAGGCACGCATTCCTCCGCAGTCTCCGAACTTCGCAGCGGGCACCC